ATATATATATATATATATATATTAATACTCATATATATAATGTAATATATTAACAAAAATCAATTTTTAATAAAATAAAATTTGTAGCATACTTTTTATTTATTGTATACGTTAATTAAAAAAAATTAAAATAAAAAATATTAGAATATTTATGTTCTATTCAAAAAATTTAATATAAAAATATATTTTAAAATAAATTATCATCTAAAAATTTATATTAGACATTAAAAACATGTTTATATCATAAATAAATAAACTTGATTTTTTATAAAATTTAACATATTTATTTTTATATTTTTATTAGTGTTAAATTATTATAAAGTAGATCTTTCGAATTTCATTCCTAATCAAACATTTAAAAAATGTCTATGATAGATAAATAAGTCATATATAAGATAAGAATTTTTTTAAAAAAATTAGATTCAAACCTACTAAATTATAATATAATATAATTTGACCTAATTTATTTTCATCTTTAATTGTAACCGTAGATATAAGAGCTTGTAAAAAATAATTATGATATATTTATATTTTTAAAAGTTATATGCAAAATTTTTAATATTATAAATATATAAATAAATATTACTCCCACTGTCTAAAAATTCTATATCCTTCACGGTGATGATGCCCCTCGCTCCATTAGTTACAAACTGCACGGCCAGTTTGCTATCATTCTCAATCCACAAGAATTGATATCCATGCCTCCAAGCAATTAACTTCCAAGAAGATAGAATCCCCAAAGCTTTGCTATTAACACACTTGATGAGCCAATAATACGAACAAATCCAAGGAGCCACATGTCATCCTCGTTACGAAAAACTCCAACACATCCAACATGATGACCTTCATCAAGAACTGACGCGTCAGAGTTGACCTTGATCTAGGGTCCTTGTGGTGATTGCTAGAAGACTTCCTCCGATCGTGCAACCCAACTATATATGCATGCGATTTGATTGGAACCAGGGCACACGACCGAAAGCATGGTGACTTTGCCACGCTCGTTGCCAAACCTCACGAGATATACCTTGAGGCTGTATGATTTCACCCACAAAAATGATCTTATTCATGTGTTTCCATAACACATGGATACAGGCGATAAAGATGAAAAACCACGACACACCCCTATACTCGAAAACTCTACCAAGATTATCCTGAATCCTCTCTTGCAAGCTATGGGTTTCAAAGAAGAGCTCAGGGATTTGCAAGCCCACTATGTTCCAGATTTAGTTTGCATGTTGGCAGTCCCTAGCCATATATAGGATGATTCCTCATTAAGCAATTTAATCAAATTCATTTGTTGCACAGAAGCCTTAGCAAACAGAAGCTAAGTCATCCGCAAAAAATGACCAATTCCTTGATAATTTAATAGGTTTCCATATGTTGCATATGCAACCTCCTGTTCAATCAAATAGGCAAACCCCTCCTTACAATACACAAACGAAAAGGGTGAAAGTGGGTCACCTTGCCTGATCCCCCTAGATGGGCAAAAGCTTTTTGATGGAGCTCCATCAAACAATACCTGCATGTTAACAGAAGACGTACAAGTCATAATAAGATTACAAAAGTGCACTCCAAATCCCACCTAGCTCCTTTAGTGTATCTAAGAGAAAGCCTCATCGTTGTCAGTCACATGTTTTCTCCAAATCTAAGCCATAAACCCACTCTCTCCCTACTTCTTGTGCATGGAATGAAAAATCTCCTGAGCTATCACAACATTAATTGTTAATCCCATGTCTACCAGGAACGAAACTACATTGGTTGGGTCCAACTAATTAGATCCAGCATAATCAGCTTCATCCTTGTAGCAATAACTTTTTTAATGATTTTATAAACAACATTGCAAAAGCTAATAGAACGAAACTGGTTCATACTAGTAGGAGCATCACACTTTGGAATGAGCACAAGCAACGTACCATTAATTTGTTTCACGAAATCTGGATCAACAAATCTCTATCACTCTTTTTCTTTAACCCATACACCGGAATTTAGGGTGCAAGTTGAGTTTTTTTTTTTAATTGATAAAAAAAATGTCTTGCAAGTGACTTGTGACAGCTGCAGAAGTTGTATGAAATTCTATGTGACGTCGGTCTAGCTTTGCTTGACAATGTCATCCTAGATCGTGTTCCTTTCAAGTATCTTGCTCTACATTAATCTTCATCATCACAAACCTTTATCGGGCTTATATATTATGGTAGGCCATATCCTTACCCTTTCAATCAAAATCACTTTTTTATTTTATAATTAATGTAAAACTAATGTCTGAAATTAATTAATTTAAGTATACATTGTACTTACATCCAATGGTCTAAATTAATTTATTTAACTTTAAATTACAACAAAAGAAAATTAATTTAATTAATTTTTTTTTTATGTACAAACACTTAGAATAAAATCCATAATACCTACATGCTTAAGGATCAAAAGGTTAAATTATATTTTTAGTCTTTTATTTTATTTATTAAATTTGTTTTAATTTTTTATCTATTAAAATGTTTATTTTGATTTTAATTTTTTATATTTGAATCAATTAAATACTTTTAAAATAAAAATAATTTTTAATTTTGTAACTAAATTTTAAATCAATTTTTTTACTAGTTTAAGATCCGCAACTTAACAATAAACTCAATTATATAAAAAATTATAAAATTCAATGAGTTTTAATATAATAAAAATCGTATATAAAATATGTAAATAACTCCAAAATAATATGAAATATAGTATTTAAAATTTCAATTGTCTTTTACACTTATTTTTATATAATTTTATTATGTTTTTAATATTTTTTTATTTGAACTTTAGTTGTGTTTAATATATAAATGAATCTAATAAAATGAATTTTAAATATTAAGTCAGTTAAAAAATAATTCAAAATCATATTTCTAAATTAAAAACAATTATTATTTTAAAATAATTAAATTAATCTAAATTTAAGAAATAAAAATTATAATGAATAATGAACATTTTAAAGATAAAAAAAATAAAATACATCTAAACATCATGCTTTGATCACATGAATTGTTTCCCCATGAAAGGCCTTTACTCCCTTTGAACACGAGTTCTTACAAACAAACAGATCTTAAGATGACAGGAGTACATACATACAGAAGGCATGGCTGAACACGTAAAATGAAATACTATACCCACATAAGCCATTAACATATGTATAATATATTTGTATCTAAATGTTTGCAGAAATAAAAGTTTTGAGGAAGAACCAGCGAGACAGTTTCCGCTTAACCTTCTTCTCCGTAATGGTGTCCAAGCTAGGTTTCCACCCCTTCCCCGATAACTGCCTACTCATATACCCTTCCCTCCCTTCCGCCAAAAACTCACAAAAACCCTCCCTCTCTTCTCTCTTCTCCACCTCCTCCTTCCTCTGGAACAACCCTGCAAACCAAGGAAGAAGCCCCGAAGAAGAAACAAAGTACTTGGAATGCAGAGAAGAGTTAACGATCAAGAGAATCCGGCGACTATCTTCGCTGCTCAACCCCACAGGCTTCCCTCGCATCACCGGAACCATCACATACGTTTTCTTCACCTCTAGCTTCTCGTCAGCGGGTAACGGAGACGGTCTTTTTTGGTTCACGGCGGAGTGAAACTCCACCACCACCTGTTGCGGGTGGTCCAGCATGAGCTCCGCCGCCGTTAGTGCATGTGGCTCCCCCA